TTTTTTAAAGTAAAAGTAAAAGTAAAGTAAAGTCCTAAGCTCCGTATACGAATTTATGTATATTGTTTCATGCAATATTTTAGCATCTATTTATCACAGTTAAGCGTGAGCTGAGTTCTCAAAAGTCAAACCTATAAGTTGAAGCAGTCAATGTGATCTAGAATTGGTAGTAAATCAATCAGTTAATATTATGAATATATATGTACATATATATCATAGATCTTCGCTTATAGCTAAACAGATCATGAATTTTGTATATATGTATATATAGATCTGTATACATTTACATACATATATTTATATGATATCTACTCACAGATACATACACATGCATATGTATTTAATGCAATTGGCAGAGTGATCTTCCAATTGGCATGGGAGCAAACAAGAGTTTGAATGCCTTGCCCTGTTGCTCGTTGCGGCAGACTCTTCGATCAGGGTCTTCTACTAATTTCAATGCGATCCGAACCGATCCAATGCGATGCGATGCGAAGAGAAGAAAAAGAAGAAAAGGCCACAGCCTACAAGTTCTACGAAACTAATTTAGTCAAGTGGCGACGCGTCGTGGGGCCAGAACGATCAGCACTTCACAATGGCCGCATCGAGCGCTTGGCCTTAAAGTCAGCCTCTTCTTCTTCTTCTTCTTCTTCTACATCTGTTATTTCTTTTCGATTTCTCGAAAGAAAGAAGATATACATATACATATATGTATATACATATGCGTGTAGATATGTATTTAAAGAAATATGCAAGCGTCATTGGAAGCTTTGGAGTAGCTGCGGCCCGATTGGCAGCCAGCCCATGGGAACCAAACCTTAAGCCGAGCATCGTGGCGATCGCAGTGTCCAGTCAAGCAGAGAGCAAGACGGAGAGAGAGTGAGAGAGGGAGAGGGAGAGCGGGAGAGAGACTGGTAGTGGATCAGCCAGACTTGTGGCAGACATGTCGACTGGCCAGTCGACTGCCACTTGACGCAATGCCGGCTGCTACGATCAACGATCGACGATCTCTGCCTCTCTCTCTCTCTCTCTCTCTCTCTCTGTCTTACTGTCTCCCCTTTGGCAGGCTGCATTTTCTCAGGCATCGTCGATGCCTGATGCCTGGGCGACTCGAGTACCAATTCGTTTAAAATGGTATCAGTTCCAAGAAAAATATTATTTTTTTATAATTTCTCGAGTGCGTTAATCTGTCGAGCAGCGCGGCTCGACGCTCCACTGAGTGGCAGCAGCAGCGGCAGCAGCTCAGTGGACGATCGACGCTGCCAGCAACGTTCGGTTCAGGTTGTGCATAATCACGACGTGGGACCTCACACCCCCATTTCAAAAAAAAAAGAGTATATGCATGTATATATATAAAGGGGGCATTCGCTTCACCCCTAACCCGTTGCTGTTGTTGACGAACCAAAATGAAACGTCAATTTGAAGCGTTTTTCCTGGTAATAATTAGT